GTGATTTTGATGCCCTTTAGTGCCGTGCTCATGATGGATGCAGATCGCTAATGGTGCTGTTACAGCGCGCCATCAGGATTCGGTTCAATTGCTCGACTCGTTCAGGAAACACGGCGCGGGAAAGGACAATCTTATCGTGGGGGTTTTAATACCCTAAATATCGATTGGGACTTACTTATTTGTGGTCGTCTACCCGATTCCTTTGATGTTACCTTACTTGAGACTGTTACCGAATGTAATTTGTTTCAGCGCGTCATCATGCCAACCCGCATTGTTGCTGACCAAACGCCAAACATTCTGGACCTTGTGCTCACCCCCGCTCAGTCAGGTGTTACGAATCTAACAGTTCTTCAACCCATTGGCAAAAGTGGTCATTGTGTCGTTTCATTCCAATCGACACGTCGCGTCACCATCCATACCCAAGGTGGTTGTCGTCGGAACTTTTGGCATGCGGATCCACTCCAACTGAGAACAGCCGCAAGCGCTTGGACTGGAGTATTCCTGATCCCATTCCTCTTGATGATGCGTGAACCTTGTGCTCTCTAGATGAACTTCTCTAATTGAGCAGGTCGATCCTTTCTCCCGTAGGAAGTCTTCAAAAGGGGTTCACCTTGGATTGACAGTGAATTGAGATCTCTGACGAACAGAATACGCAAATTGTGGGGACCGTTTCGGGCAATCTCAAACAGAGTCCGATTACTCTTCCTACAAGACTACCAGGAATGTTCGTGTCACTTTTGAAGCATCAGAAATGTCAGCACTGAACTATCATTAGCAGTACACTCCAGAACGACATCCAAAATGCTTTTCTCTTATCTGAAAGGAAGCACCAGGGCTGGCTGTGGTATCCCTACCTTGTGTTCCTTTGAACATCGAAATTTACTTTACGAAGACGTTGATAAAGCCAGTCTTTTGGCCAGCAGTACGCCTCTGTCTTCGCGAAAGAAACTCTAGCCTGCGACAAAACTATGTCTAGTTTTCCTTATCTGTTGAATTAAGTTGACATTAACATCAATTCTGTGCTTAAACTTCTCCTTGATTTAGATCCGCATTCTTCACCCGGCGCGGATGGCTTGCACCCCCTTTTCCTTAGGGCTGTGGTGCAGTACAACGCCCCTCCTATCTGTCAGCTTTTCCGTCGTTCTTTTGAAGCTGGGCGTCCCCCCTCGGCTTGGAAAGTGGGCATTGTCAAACCCATATAAAAAGGAGGGAACAGGCAAGATCCAGCCAACTATCGTCCTATCTGCTTAACGTCGATATTGTGTGAAGTTATGGAGCGGATCTTGAGGCAAGCTCTTCATCTCTACCTCTAGTAACTAAATCTCCTCTTGTGCACAGCATGATTTTCGAAGGGCACGCTCATGTACCTAGAACTTACTAGTTGCTGAGGAGAAATCGGCGAAATCCCTAGATTCCGCTAAACGCCTGGACGTTGTGTTTGCGGATTTCAGCAAAGCTTTCGACAGGGTTCCGCACGAACGACTTAAACTTCGAGGAATCGGTATCGCCGGGAATCTTCTCTCTTGGATGTCTGATTTCCTTCGCGACCGCACGATGCAGGTGCACGTGAACGAAACATTTTCCTCCCCTGTTCTCATGACTAGTGGGGTCCCACAGGGTTCTCTCCACTGCCCCATGCTTTTCAACGTCTTCGTCAATGACTTGCCGTCCACACCAGACGGATTGCCTAATCTACGCCGATGACCTGAAGTTGTGGATGGAGGTACCCAGTATGGAAGATGCTGATAGGTTGCAATCGACACTCGATCTGCTACATGATTGATCAATTAAGTGGCATTTACCAATGGATCGTTAGGTGTTCGGTTCTTCCAGTTGGTGCATCTGACCCATTTGGAATCTACCATATTGGTGGTTCCTTGCTCAGAGACGCCACTCAGGTGAGGGATTTGGGAGTGATAATTTCGCCTGACCTCAGATGTAATGAAGATACCAAGAAAATGGTCGCTGCGGCCCACAGGATGTTTCACTCTATACGCAGAGGCTTCTCACCTCACCCCGGGGATCTTCCGACTTCTGTTTACTTCACATGTACGCCCGCTTCCCAAATACGGGCTACCTGCCGCCTACCCTCTTACGAACTTTGAATGTGCTATGATTGAAAAGCTTAAACGGCGTGCATCCAAATCTGTTCCTGTGCTGCGGGACCCGTCCTATTCTCTCCGACTCAAACCACTGAACCTCTTCCTTGGATTACCGTCGTCATCACGGAGACTTGATCTTCACCCGATGTATTCTTAGAGGATACTTGGGGAGGGAATTACAGGAATTCTTTCATCTCAACACAGAGTTCAACAAGAGGCCACAGTTTGAAACTGTTTATACCGAGAAGTCATCGAGTGCGATCCAGCGTGTCTTTATCCACTCGCGTTGTAAATGACTGGAACCGCTTTCCGGAGTTCATCGTCGTTGCCGAGGCCGAAGAATGTTTCAAGCATTTATTGGATTCTCATTTTAGTTTACGGGGATCCAGCTGTTTCCAATGCCGCTTCAGTGGTTTTCTGTGGGACCTTGTTCCGCAATGACCCAGGCTATCTCCGCAACGATTGGGAAGTGACGGAGCCGACAAAGAAACTTTCTTCTGCTCTCTATCATCCAATGATCTCCAGTTTCCCTAGCATAGCTACCGAACCAAACCCGCCGCTAGCCAAAACTCAGATGTGGGAGTTCCTTGAGTTGTAGAGAGCAGGAGAGAAATCCCTTGTCAGCCCCATCGATTCCGTATCATACTGGGTTTGATGCGTGTCGTTGCATTGCGACGTTCCTCGAGGGCTCGTCGCAATTGCAGTGACAGACGCAAGATTCCAGCATTCTCAGCTAATGTTTGTCTATCTGCCGCTTGAAACTTTCCTCGGGTGGAGCGTCTGCCATTTCTTCCACTAGGCTGTTCCAATCATTCACCACTAGTAAAAAGGGTGACGTCCATGCGAATTCTGTCTTTTTTGCTTACAGTTTCCATGTGTCTATAAATTTGAGAATTAACTATTTAGTTATTTATGTGGGACCTCGTGTGGAACAGTCAGTGTTGGGCCGGAAGAATTGTTATAACTCACTTCCAATTTCCCCTCGGATGATGCGCCTAGTGTAGATTAGATCACCCCGGCGACGGCGGAGCTCGGGGGAGAACAGATTTAGATGCTCAAGTCGAATGGGGTACGGGAGATTACGAGGCCCTAGAATAACTTTCGATACACTTCTCTGAACCTTTTCCAGCAGAGCGCATTCAAACTTTGAAAGCGATTGCCTAGCTAGTAGGCCATATTCTAAGACTGGACGGACGTACGAGGTGAAAAAAGGTCGAAAAATCTCAGGAGTCATTCGAGCGAATGAGGCACCCATCAGTCTCCTTCCAGTGGCCACCTTCTTCAATGTGTCCTGCGTGGCTCTAAGGTCAGAAGTCACGATAACCCCGAGATCTCTCGTGGGTAGTATTCCTGAGGAGAAACCCACCAATATGGTATGTACCGTACGGTTCAGGCCTACCCACTGGGAGAACAGCGCGTTTGTCTCGGTTTACTGGCAGTTCCCACTTGATGGACCATTCGTGTAGCTGATCCAGGGCCCATTGTACTCTGTCCGCATCCTCAATGCTGGATGCTGTTGACTATAGTTTGAGATCATCAACGTAGATCAAACAGTCTGTTTGAAGTGCAGTCGGCAGATCGTTAATGTACAGTTTGAAGAGCTCCGGTCCAAGCACTGATCCTTGAGGAATGCCACTAGTCATAGTCCGGCTGTTTTCGATTAATCTGGCGCTCTGTTAGAAGGTCGCTGCGGTGCGATCACCTTGGTGGGTTCCGTTTCCCTATCCCGCCTTTCCGAGAGACTAATCCTAAAGTCAGGTTTACTCAACTAGAATCCATATTTTCGTTGCATGGCATTTGGTCTGACAGTGTCAACTTTCACTGCGTTGCCATAGCGCTATCTCCGCAAGTCCTCGATGACCTCAACGACATTTTAGAGCTTCCCGAATATCAGAAAACTTACGACGCGCTTAAGGCCGTTGTCTTAAAGCGATTTGGCATATCAAACCATGCTCGCGTTACGCAACTATTTAACGAAACCGAGCTAGGTGCTCGAAAGAATTCTTAGTTGCTACACAAGAGGCAGGCTCTAGCTAAACCTCTCTCTGTTGGCGATTCTTTCTTTGAAGAGACGTGGCTTCCTCGTCTGCCACGTGACGTACGTAACCCCCTGTATGCAATGATGCGCCTTTTTCTCAGCTCGCCGACATTGCCACCCGTATTTGGGAATCCAACGCCCAAATATCTCAGCTTCAGCCTACTTCCAGTACGGACGTAGCAGAACTAAGAGCGCAAGTAACAGCATTTACCAACCGACTAGTAGTCCAGATCCAATCGCCAAAGTCGTTCCAGTAGTCGCACACGTTCTAGATCACGTTCGAAACCTCCCCTAGGTCAACCTATTGTTGGTACCACGAGCGATTTGGACATCAGGCCAGATCATGTGGCCTTCCTGTACCTTCGAGCGCAACGCGCAGGGAAACGGACCGACCAGCACGTAGGGGCGACGGATGTTGCTGGCTGCCGCAGTCATCTTTTATTCGTCACCGATCGCAGTACGACTGTACGCCATCTCGGTGACACCGGCGCAGAAGTCAGCGTTATCCCACGAGATTCTAATGATGTTATTGAAGAGGCGACTAGTTCACTGCACACATCAAGTGGCGCCATTATTCGCGTGTATGGTCAACATTCGCGCACGCTTAACTTCAACCGACGAGGTTCTTTTAAATGGATCTTTCTCGTCGCAGATGTCCAGACGCCAATTCTCGGCCTTGACATTCTACGACACTTCGATTTGCTTGTTGACGCGAAGCAATGCCATCTGGTCGATCATCAAACATCTGGCAGTTATGGGTATTGACCGACATTGAGTCAACCAGTTTTGTATACGCCGACCAATCGAGCTCACCTATCGGTCAGATGCTTAATACTAAGTTCCCGCAAGTCCTCTGTGCAATGACACCATTTCCATCCGCCACTGATGCTGCTAAACATCACACTGTTACCAAAAGTCCGCCTGTTTTTGCCAAAACCGGGCGAATGACCCCTGACAAGCTCAAAATTGCTCACGCGGAATTCGAGCACATGCTTGAACTAGGCATCCTTCGTCCGTCTAAAAGCCCGTGGGCGTCGGCGCCCCATATGGTGCCCAAAAACGTCAGGGGACTGGCGTCCATGTGTTGGTTATCGCGCGCTTAATAACGTTACTGTTCCCGACCGCTATCCCATTCCTCACATTCAGGACATCACGGCAAGCCTGCGCGGCACCCGGGTGCCCTCGAAAATCGATCTGCTTCGCGCGTATCACCAGATTTCGGTCGCTGCGGAACACATACCGAAGACTGCCGTAATCACGCCGTTTGGGCTCTTCGAATTTTTGCGTATGCCGTTCGGTCTTCGTAACGCAGTCCAGACTTTTCAACGGTTCATTGATTCAGTCACTGGAAGTCTAGATTTCGTCTATCCATACATCGACGATATCCTTGTTGCAAGCGCTTCTAAAGAACAACACGCAGAACATCTCAGTATTCTTTTCGATAGACTGGCCGCTAATGTCATCACTGTCAACCCTGACATATGTGTATTTCAGCAGCCTTCTGTCGAATTTCTTGACCACCATATTGTTCAGTATGGCATACGGCCTCTAGACGATAGAGCCCGCGCCATCAGGGACCTTCCAGTCCCGACTAAGTTAGCCGCTATTCGCCGTTTCAGCAGCATGCTCAACTATTATCGACATTTTCTTCCACTACCAATTTGCTAAGTCCACTAACAGACCTACTTCTTGGACGCAAAAGCGGTCAGTTGGAACTGACTGCTGCTGCTGCCGAAGCGTTCAAGGCCAGCAAATAAGCCTTAGCCAAAGCCGTTATGCGTCACCATTTCGATCCGAACGCTCCGCTTAGTGTTGCTGTTGACGCATCGGACACCGCCATTGGCGCCGTCCTACAGCAACATACAAATGGATGCTGGAAACCTCTTGCTTTCTACTCTAGACGCCTACAACCTGCCGAAGTCAAGTACAGCACGTTCAGTTGCGGACTGCTGGCCGTTTACTCTACCGTTCTACATTTCAGACACGTCCTTTAAGGTAACGCCTTCATTATCTTCACCGATCACAAACCGCTTATTTACGCATTCCGAAATCAATCAGCCCGACACTCAACATGGGCGCTTTGTCAGCTGGATTTCATTGCCCAATTCTCAACTGATATCCGACATATTTCTGGTCAACGAAACGAAGTCACTGATGCTCTTTCAGGAGTATCTACGATTGGCCCTGCCGGGCAGACAATCGATTTGTCTGCTTTGGCCGCCGCGCAATCAAACGACCAAACTTTTTCAGAACTCCGTGATTCTTCTTTGAAGATATCCCCACACCCTTTGCCATCATCTGATGGCACAATTTTATGCGACACATCTACCGGACCATCTCGACCCGTCGTTCCAGCAACTTTTCGCCGCATCGTTTTCGACACCCTCCACAATATCGCACACCCAGTCATTAAAACTACTGCTAGGCTTGGCTCTTAGAGATAGGTTTAGCCGGGGATGCAACGCGATCTTATGCGCTGGGCACGCAGCTGTCTCACCTATCAGCAAGCCAGGTTTTAGCGGCACGTGTCCGCTCCGCTTGGTCGCTTTCCGTCCGTTTCAGCCAGATTTGCATTCGTTCATCTCGACATAGTTGGACCTCTGATCCCGTCCAAAAAAGGCCAACATTTTGACCATGATCGACCGTTGCACCGGTTGGCTCGAAGCCGTTCCCATCTCTGATGTATCTGCGGAAACCGTAACGCGCGCTTACGTCGAGCGCTGGGTCGTTTCACACGGCTGTCCAGCCACAGTGGCAACAGACCGCGGTCCGCAAATCGGATCTTCGACCTTTAGCGATTTTCTTAAGCTCATTGGATGCCGACGCATTCGTACGACCGCCTATCATCCACAGGCGAACGACATGATGGCACGTTCCCACCGACAGCTGAAAGACTCAATTAGCGCCACCAATGCGCTGCGTTGGACAGTGCTGCCTATGATCGTCCTTGGGATCTGAGCAGCCCTAAAGGCTGATCTACGTACGTTTATCACCGAGTTAGTATATGGACAACCACTGTGTTTACCTGGTGATTTCTTTTCCGATAATCCCAGAATTCTCCGTTACAACGCGAATTATGTTCGTCAGCTAGCCACGAGCATGCGTCACTGCAAGCTTCCCGATGTTAGAGAACGACATAAATCTTTTGTTCCACAAGACCTGCAGCGTTGTCCGTTCGTTTCTCTCCGCCTCGCTGGTCTCCACATACCACTGGAACAAACTTACGAAGGTCCTTTCAATGTTCTGCAGCGTAAGGGCCGCGTCTTTATCATCGACCGTCATGGTAAACGAGAAGCCCTTACGATTGACCGTCTCAAGTTTGCCCACGTGGAACTCGAGCTCAATGAAGACCGTTACTCATCTTCTGACACATCAACCCAACCTATGATGGAAGACTCGCCTGCTTCCAATATCCCTGACCTTAAGCATCACTATCCATCCAGGCCTTCCACTTCAGCTCCGCTGCTTTCCATCGAACCAACCGTCACGTCTTCAGTAGTTCCTCCAACTTCGCGATCCGATAGGACGTCTAAGAAGACGCCTTCCTCTGATCCGCATAAGTCGACTAGGTCGGGTTGGCGCGTTCATTGGCCAGCGCAATTAAGGGGTTAGTGTTTCTTTCAGTTTCTTTTCTCGGTTTTCCCTTTTGGCCAATAACGTACGAAAACCCAAAAAATCGGCCAAGCTTTTGAAAACGCCAAAATAAACAGACAAGGTTTTCTGGAAACGTCAAAGAACGCAAAACATTTTGAAAACCCCAAAAAGTGACGTTTTGAAAACACGTAAAGAGTTGAGTTTTTCTTGACGCCTACCTCATTCGGTAAGTGTCACTCTTACTTTTGCTTTCGCCTCCATCGTCACTGCTCTTGTTTCCGTTTATATTTCATGTATGAACCGGAGATGACGAACCTGAAGCGAACATTTGACCTTCACGGACTTGCGAACCTTTGCCGCTTACGAACCTCCCCTATTTGATGTTTTTGGCACCTTTAGGGAAGACGGGGGGAGCCCGCCAGGGTCCGATCTCCTGGTTCTCCCCCAGCAGCTACATCAGGTTTCACTGCCTGGTCTCGCAGAAGGCTGGCCCACGACGGACAGTCCTCACGTAGATCGAAGGGTCACCCACGGTTTCCCTTCTAGGGGACTGTGTAGTGACCTAGAGATACCACCGTATGACTGTAAACTATTCCAAAATATATTAACATTATAGCTTTCTTATGTATTAGGGAATTAGGCGGTTTGCCTGTTGGAACGTTGTTCCCGTTTGTTTGAAACACGAACACGATATCCGCCTTTGGCGCGCGCGACTCGACTGCGAACGACGCGCTGTCAACGCACTCGACGCCCAACCACATCCTTCCTAGCTAGCTCTCTTCTGGTGCCCTATTTTTAGCATTAGCTAGCTCTTCCGTTCAATAAACTTTTCCCTAGCTTAACTTTTGTGTGTTCTACCCATTGCCTTTGGTTGGCCGTCCAGTCTCGTACCGGATATATAGCGCACAATCAACGCGTTTTACCACTCTACAGTCTGTCCACAAAGTCCCCGGTCACTCCACCTTTATGCATATCTCTACCTAAATCAGTCTATACATGTAGTATCTTGTACATGAGACTTGTCAAAGAAAAGGACTCTTCGCTGATCAATGAAGTTTATTGAAACAAACATGTGCTAGTCTACAGTCAAACTGTCATGGATCCAATGTGCCCGTGTGTTCACCGTCATTCTTAGCACATACACTAATGCGTCTCCAAGGGCGTGCTGAGATGCGTTGCAGCACATCTGGGAGAATCGAATTCAATGAAGCACGGGTTGCAGCTTTAAGTTTTTCTATGTCGTTGTAACTTGTTTTTCTGATGTCTTCTTTCATCATGCGCCACAAGTCATAGTCGCATGATGAGAGGTCAGGACTGCGACCTAACCATTGATGCTGTGAACAACGTCCAATTCACCAGCAAGGGAAATTCTCATCTAGGAACCGGCGCACCGAGATAGCGAAATGTGCAAGAGCACCAGCCTGCTGTAGAATGGCTACATGTATGATTCCAGTTGAAACCAATTGCCGAATGAACCGGGTCTCCAACATTTCCTGGTAGGTGAACTGATTCACTGAGTTTTCAAACAAATGCCTCAATAATTTTGGTGGCTGACATTTCCGCCCACATCATGACGTGCGGTGGGATGTGGGCGATTTCTTCAGCCTACTATGGGTTGTTCTTGCTCCAAATGTAAACATTTCGTAATCGTGAGCTGAGATAGCACATTCATCACTAACGAAGACATTGTGACGACTGATTTTTGTGGGGAATTCTTAGGTGTTGACACGCTTCCATTCGATTCTGTCATTCAATATCAGATAGTTCACTGAACTACATTGGCCTGAATGCTGACATGCCTACGTTAGTTTTAAGCACCATTTGGAATGTGGAGCGGGGAATGTGCGATTCAGTAGACCTCTTACGAGTCGGTATCTTTGAAGAATTGACAACTGATTGCTGTATGATTTCCACGTGCTCCCTTCGGGAGGCAGGTCGTCCAGAGCGAGGGCATCCAGCACAGATCCAGATGCAAATGTTTTCTCCCATGCCAATAATGTGTCCTTTTTGGTGCAGGCTTCTTGAAACGCTCCTGGAATTTGGTGGAAACATCAGTCATTGTACGTTTTTATAGCACACGATCATGTACCCAAACAGCCTCTATGAGTCTTTCTTCAATGGTGTAGTGACTTGTGTCGGTCATTTTTCGAATGTATACATGAAAATAGAAAGGCGATAGGGTCGTACATCTATGCCATAAATATTATGGTAAATGTGCACATATTAACTAATAAATGGTATTGCAAAAACATCAGTTGTGAACAATGACCAGGGACTTCGTGGCCGCCCTGTACGTGTCGGTTAGGGAAGAACCCGGAATCCCGACCCGGACGAATATTACACATCTGGCCACCCTGCCAGGATACAAAATGTCGTGGCACGTCGGAATTAACCGCCCTGCTCTGCGTGAACCTTCTGTGTTTACACCCGGCGATGACTTCGACCTTTAGGAAACTGATGGGCGTAACCCACAGTGACCACTGGAAATATATCGTGAGTTTCCTCAGCAACGAAATTGCTCGCCAACTGCTGGCTTTTCGGCTCCCGCTGGATACTCCACCGGAAGACATTTGGTCCTGTCTGCGAACTCTTTATGCGGTTAAAACTCCGTCGGCCGTGTTTCTTAAATCTTTTTATGCTCGCCAACGGATGCCTTCAGAAAATGTTCAGAAATACACTGTGATCTTTCTGGAACTAGCCGCGAAAGCTTTTTCGGACGCATCAGAAGCAGAATTTTAAAAAATCCTTCACCATCTTCTTGTCGGCGTGAAGAACCACGAGCTACTTTCCAAATTTAGCCGCAAGCCTCCGCGATCGCTGGAAGAAGTTGCCGATATTGCAACCAGTTACGAAGGCGTAGAGCAGCTGCATTCGCAATCAAAATGTAATCTCAAATTCTTGGAAGATACTTGGAACCTATCGAGTAGTCATAATTACAGAGGTTTGGAAACAATCGGTTGGTATAGTAGTTTGATAACGTTTCGCCCTCGACACAAAAACTTCGTCAGACCAGGTGAATCAGTGTGCAATTGGTGTGAGATTTTATAGCGAACTGGGGCGATAACCGCGCTATC